TTTGATAATGATTTGGAAGGCAAGTGGTTTTTGTTTGTTTTTGAAATGGAGTCTCATTATGGTGCCGTGCTGGGTGCAGTGGCACAATCTTGGCTCACTGCAACCTCCGCCTCCTGGGTTCAAGCTGTTCTCCTGCCTCAGTTCCCAAGTAGCTGAGACTACAGGCATGTGCCACCACACCCAGCTAATTTTTGTAGTTTTAGTAGGGATGGGGTTTCACTTTGTTGGCCAGGATGGTCTTGATCTCTTGACTTTGTGATCCACCCATCTTGGCCTCCCAGAGTGCTGGGATTATGGGCATGAGCCCTGAAGCCTGCCCGGGAAGTAATTTTAATATTTAAATTTTACTAATGGTTAGCATCAAGATTATCAAATAGTTACTTGAAACACTTTCTTTAACCATTGTAGATAACAACAGAACAAAATAACAAAAGAATAATAACAAGAGAACCTTTGATTCTGTGATCCCAGAAAAATTCCTTGCCCTGCCCTTGTGTCCAAAATATGTCAATTTTTAGCTTTTATTCACAACTTGGTACTGTACATTTAAAAGTACAATATAGTTTTCTTTTTTAAAAAATAGTTTTTCTATTCAACTTTATAATTTCACTTGTAGTTATTTTGTATCAGCTTATTTTGATTCCTCAGCTTTTTTCATTATGTTTTTCAGTTATTTTATGTGCCTCTCATCTGAAATACCTTTTAAAACTTAAGGAATAAAATAGTACAAATTTTATCCAAGCTATGAAACTTTCCCATTTGAGGGGCAATTTTATCTTGAAAAAGGAAAACAATATTTTCAAGATTAAATACTTGGCTACTTTGATAATAGTGGAGTCTATAAGTATATTAAAATTTTTACTGAACAAGGGAATGTTTTGAGCTGACTAAGACATTCCCAAAATTTTGTGTAGAGTTCATTTACATTCCTATGGGAAAATGCAGCAGTCTGAAAAAGGATATATGTTGCTTTAAGGAACCAAATGTGTGGAAGGAGATTCCTTTTGGACACTCTTCTACATTGTCTGCATAATTTACATCATTCTTCTCAAATTCTAGGCATAGATGTATTCTTTACATAATTTACCCTGTAAATTTTGTTTGATGAATTAATGACACCTACTGGGCATCTAGTATCTTTTTGAAACTCTCCATATCCAAGCTGAAAAAAATGACACAGCCCAGCTCACAAATGCTGAGCAGATGTGCACAGACTTGCTATACCTTCATCCAGTCTAGGGTGATGGGACTTTGTTACATGTTCATTAGCGGTGATATAACCGTGGATTGTTATTTTCCTAATTAGCCATTAATAACAGTTAACACTACAATGAGATCACAATTTCAGAATTTCGAGCATATATTGTTGACAATGAAATCTAATTAAAAACAAACTGGCTTCTTATATTTCATAAAAGATGTTAATCTCATTGATAGAATTACTGCCACTCATGCCAGATACCAACTTGCTTTCATTTTATTTGTTTTGTTCTCATTCTGGTGCCCAAACTATTTAATATGTAATATTCTAATGGGGAAAAACTTCTTACATTAGAGAGTGGGTTATAGTAATCTTTAAATAAACAAGGTCCTGAAGTATCTAAAGGCTGATGGTAAGAAATCGTATTGCATTGGTTGTAAGAAAAGCTTTCTTGTAATAGCTGCCACGGATGCTCATACAAATCAATGCAAGGAGATCAATTTTTCTTAGCTCTTTAAATGTTTAAGCCAGCACCTGGCCTTTGTGATGTCTCTTGGTTGTAGGTAATAGCTGGGAATTTCAGGTGAAGGATTACAACTTCTGAGTTAGTTATGCTACCCCAAATGATCCATTGGATGTGGCTAAAATGCTAGTTTGAAAATATATTCATGGGATTAGGAGTGAACACTTCTTTGCCTGAAATCTTGTGGTTTAGCTTTAGTACTTACTGTAGTCAGTTCATTTCTTTGAAATATTGAGCTGTCTGACAACTTAAAATCCTAAGTTTCCTTTAAACTTGAGCCTGGCTTTAGAGGAGAAAGGGGTGTTGTAGGGGTGGATTTTATGTAAGGCTCTCTGAAGAGAATTCACTGAAGTGCTTTTTGCTGGCAGGGCGCTGAGAAGACTAGCAGGCTGCTTCCTTTCAGTCCTTCTTGGGTTTTGCCCTTAGCCTAGATAAACATTTAGTCAGATAATTTATGTCAGGGCCACTGAGTCTGTTTTTGTGCCTTGGTAAAGTCATCATTTTCCTTTCATGAAGAAGCATGGAAAAGGCCCAGGTGCAATGCCCAGGTTTTGTTAAGCCTGTTGGATATTAGGAAAAGCCTTGATGCTCTTTATATCCTTAGTTCCCAGCTGAATGTGTATCACCTTGCATCTAAGTTGGGAACTGAGTTATTATTATTATTATTATTATTATTTTAAATAGATATGGGTTCTTGCTATGTTTTCTGGGCTGGTCACAAACTCCTGGGCTCAGGTGATCCCCTGCCTCAGCCTCCCAAAGTGCTGGAGTTATAAGCATGAGCCACCATGCCCAGCCATAAACATGTTGGTAAATATCACCTAGCAAGATTATTTTCTTTGTGGATGTACTATAATCAGGTACCACAAATAAATTGAAAACATATTATATGGAGAATACTAATATGCTGTGGAATCATTACTTCCATGTCAAATGTAAACATCTAACTATACTGAAAATTAGGGAGCAAAGGGTAATAGTGACGTGGGTTGTAGTCTTAAGATACCTTGCCTAATTCTGAGCACATCCTTTGATCTCTTTGTTTTTTCATCCATATCTTGGAGGTAGTTCTACCTGTCCTTACTTATCTCAGAATCAATGGGAGCACTGTTTGATATTGCTTATGAATTAGAGGGCCCATGCCACATGCAAATTTTATTTTCAGTATAACTTTGTTATAACAATGGGCCTTTTTGAGCTTGAAAAATGTGTCATAATTATCAAAGGCATTTAATGAAGAATGACATGCTAGCTAAATTTTGAAGACATATTAAAAAAAAAATACAGAAAGAAAGAGCTCTTCAAAGACCATAGCAGAGGAGATAAGATCTGAGTTGTAAAAAAATATCTTGACATCAGAAGCACAGAGAAGGTAAGGGTGAGCATTCCAGATAGAGGGAATCTGATGTGAAAAAATGCAGAATAGGAATGGATAGGAAAAGTTCAGGAAACGGATACAAGGTGATGTTCATTTTAGATTAAATCTCTTCTTTATCAGTATAAAAGTGAAAACCTGAAGAGAATGACAATATTCTCAACTTTTATTCCATAGTAATAACAAAAGGCTCATACAACTTGCATCTGAATTAACTTGGAATGAGGAGGTTTAGCATTAACTGAGGAGAAAACTAAGTACTTAAGAGCTTAGGAGGATACAAAGTAAAATTAGCATCAATTTTCTGGGCTTCTTTATAGAGGACTTCCTGGAGAAAGGGATTTTAGAAGAAAGTGATAAAAGTGGATTTCTGGAAAGGTTGATAGCAAAAAAGAATGCCTTGTTTTGAAGACTTGGGGGAAGCTTACTCTGTGAATGGTATCACCAAAAGTGAGGTCTGAACTGTCGTCTTTAAAGAGGTACTTTATAGGTCCAAGGAATGTTGAGTCAGCCTCACTGTCTATTCATCTTGATTTCATCTTCCCCTTCACACCATAGCCATTTGAAATCCTGCAGGCAAAAGTCTGCTACTTATTGCTTGTGCTATTCTTTAAAGTAGCAAAAGTTTACTACTTACTGCCTGTTCTGTTCTTTCCATTTCTCCTGTCTAGAAAAATGGAGCTTACGATTAGTTTGAGATTTTCCATGTTTTCATTCTTTCACCTGTCTCTAATGTTTCTTGTTACTGTCTCCCCAAAGGAACTATTTCAAATGAGACTGCTGATCATTTCCTAGCCTGTTGCTTTTTCTGTCTTTGCTTTCTGCCTTCCTCCTATCCGGAGTATTTTTCACTGTCCTCTCAGCCATATGAGTTTAATCTACTTTTAAAATTAAGGGCTTCAGAAATCACTTCTCTGAACCTCCCTGACAACTTTTTGGTTTCATTGAACATGTATTTCCTTGTGTTGTTGTATTTGCTTGTCTTGTACTGCCTTTGTCTTGTTATATTGGGTGCATTGTAAAGGCGCTGTAACTTTTAACCTGAACTACATTGCTTGATGTTTCTGAAAATGTGGTTGGTGATGATATTATAGACCAATGCTCCATATATTTATGACTTACAGTCTCATATAGACTGATGGTTTTCAAATATATGTGTGTGTTCATTTTTAATGGAAAACCAGAGCTTGTTAAATGTGTAGAAACCACTAGAATGTAAACTTAATGAGATGACATTTTTTTTCTCTTTGGTATGGTACCGTATCTTCAGCACTTTGTTCTAGTCCAAATGTGGCACTAAATACGTTATTTGTTGAATAAGTGCTGATTTAATTTACTTAATCTGTATGTCTTCACTGGTACTTTTAAATATCCAGGAAGAAACCTCTAGGATGTTATCTCAATAAACAAGATCGTTAGGTGTCACCCCAGGGGTTGAAGGATAACATCACAGAATGTCATCATTTTTTCCTAGGAGAAGAAAAACTTTCTTTCTGTTTTTGAGACAAGACAGAAGAAATAAGATGAGAAATCATAGTTGATGTAATCTCACTTTAGTTTATTCAATGTTTGTGATCTTTTTATTGAGAAAAATTGCAGTGGAACAGAAGAAAAAATTTGAGGGAAAGACTACTTTCTAATTTATGGACCTTGGTTTGGCTTTTCAGGTGTTTGTTTAAGGGTTGCCCACTCTTTTCTCTACATTGACATTTCATGGTGAATATTTTGCTTATTCTGCCCTCTGTGTTTTTTCTATGGCAGCTTACCTGGCAGTATTCAGAAACTGAGAAGAATATTGAAGATCAGGACCTTAAATTTTTCACTCTTAACAAGGCTCAAAAACAGAAATTAAGAAGCAGACCACTGACTTTTTCCTTTTTTCTCTCTTCTTTTGCCTTTAGCTCAAGCCAGGACAGAACAGCTGCAGGGACAGTGACAGTGAAAGTGCCAGTGGAGAATCCAAGGGCTTCCACAGGAGCAGCTCTCGGGAAAGGCTCAGCGATGTAAGTTTAAAAAAAAAAATCAACCAAAACCACTAGGCCACATGCACACCATTGGTTCAGGTCTGAATTACATAACTTTCCCTCATCTTTAGAATTCTTTTTGTCTACCCAAGCATTGTGGTTCACACTTTCTTTGTATACATATTTGGCATTGTAGTTATGGTGTCATTTTAAAATGTCATTTGACCAAAACTGTGTTTTGACAAATCATCAGGTATGAGGAAGTATTTGTTATCTTAGAAACAACAGACTACAAAGAGGAATGATGATACTTTTATTATCTGTGTTACAGCTGAACGAAGTAGTCGAGTAATGCTGAGACTGGGGAATGGCATCATTTAGCTATTTGTAATTTCTTCACTTAGGAAACTGGTAACAATCCCTTTCTGTCATTTTTATTCCTGCTGGGAGTGGTGACTAACCAGCCACTTACTTGGCAAGAGAAGGAATTACATTTCCTGATGGGTTTCTGGGAGGAAAATCTTGTAAGAATGCATCATGCCTCTTGAGATGTCTATTGGCCCTCTAGATGTGATTTTGATTGTTCTCCAGTCTCCTACCCACCAACAGGGCAGCTTCCCCCACTGCTGCTTCTGAGAACCACCTACCCTTCTTTGGACTCTCTTGCCTTCTTTACTCATATGTCATATATCAGCATTCTTAACTCATCTTTGCCCCAAGAGCAACACTTGGAAACTCTTTTGTGAAGTGGATCAAGTAAAGAGAACTTTTTATTGTTTATAGCAATTAAGCAGCATTAACAGAATAAGTGAGAGAGTAGACCAAGACAAAAAGAGATAGCACTTTGAAGTGTCTGGGTATTAAGAAGAAATAAAGGATATGTACTGAGGAGCAAAATCTTTTATTTCCCTCTTTTTTTTTAAATACCATACTCTAAAGCAGTATGCTGTTCACTGTAGAGTATAAGATGATTCAATGAATTCAGAAAGAAAATATTAGTACTTTTTTTTTCTTAAAAAAAGTAAACTTTACTAGTATTCAGTTTAAAGAGCAGGGAATAGTTGTTGTCTATAATTTTTAAATACACGTATCTAAGGAATGTATACTTAACACTTTTTTACTGAGAGATGTCTACTAACATAAATGGTTGGAGACCGCTATAGCATACGAAACAGTTCTCTGTGATAAAACCACAGCCATCTCTCCATCAACCAAGGGAGATAACTCTAAGGTACAACCACCTACCTGCACCTCTTATGATAGTTTGTGAGGTTTATGATGAGATGTGATGTAAGAGACATTGAATTCTTACAAGAGGTAAATTGAACAAAATATAATTACTTCTGTGGTATTTCAATATCTTAGTTATAGATAATTACTACCCCTTCCTCTGTGATATACTATCAAAAGTATGTAAATAAAGAGTACTAACAGTCTTTTACTGTGTGCGTGCTTCTGTGTGTAAGAATGTGTTTCATTGTGTGTTAATGTGTTTGATTAGTTTTGTGTTGGAGCTATGTAATTATAAAGCCATGACAGCTTTTCTTATCTAAGGTGTTAACAAAAACAGTTAATGTTTAAATAGCTGTTTTTCTGAGATTTTTGTTATACTTTTAATATAATATCTCATTGACCCTAGAAATTATTCCAGGATTAGTCAGTCATATTTTCTTCATAGAGTAGAGAAATGAAAGCTATGTTATTTTAGGGGACAAGAACCACCATTGGATCTTTTGGCTTGTTTCCCATAACTCGCTTTCTTTTAGATCAAAAGAAATTGGCAGAAGACATTCTATATTCATGAATAGAAAGACTGATTATTATTAAGATATCAGCATTATCCTAAGCTATTTATAGGTTCAATGCAATGTCTATCATAATTCCAACAGCGTTTTTTGCAAAAATAGAAAAGCATATTCTCAAATACATATGAAATGGCATGAGGCCCTAATAACCAACACAGTCTTGAAAATGAACAAAGTTAGAGGACTCATACTTACCAACTTCAAAACTCACTGCAAAGCTATAGTTAATCAAAATGGTGTGGTGCTGGCTAATACTAGGCATACAGATCAACAGAATAGAATGGAGAGCCCAGAAGGAAACCCATACTTGTATGCCCAACTGATTTCTGACAAGGGTGCCAAGACACATCAATGGGGAAAGAATTTTCTCTTCAACAGATGGTATTAAGACTACTGGATTTTTATGTGCAAAAAAAAAATGAAGTTGGACCCCTACATCACACCATATACAAAAATAAACTCAAAATGAATCAATGACCAGCATATAAATGTGAACACTGTAAAACTCTTAAAAGGAAATATACAGGTAAACCTTCATGACCTTCAATTTGGCACTAGAAGCATGTACAACAAAAAGGAAAATAAATTGTACTTCATCAAAATTAAAAACTTTGGTACACTAAAGAGCATTGTCAAGAAAGTGAAAAGGCAGCGAACAAAATGGGGAAAAGATTTGCAAATCATATAACTGGTAAGTGTTTACTATCCAGAATGTGTAAAGAACACCCATAACTCAATAATAAAAATAGACAACCTAATGCAAAAATGGGCAAAGAATTTGAAAAATATTTCTGTAAAGAAGAAATACAAAGAAGAGATACTTGAAAAAATGCTGAAAATCATTAGTTGTTAGAGATATGCAAATTAAAAACGTAATGAGATTATCATTTTATACCTAGTAGGATGGGTATGCTTTTTAAAAGAGAATGAAAAATAAGAAGTGCTGGCAAGGATGTGGAGAGGTTGGAACACTCATACATTACTGATGGGAATGTAAAATGATGCAGCCACTGTAGAAAACAGCTTGGCAGTTCCTCAAAAAGCTGAAACATATAATTACCATATGACCCAGCAATTTCACTTTTAGGTATGTACCCCAAAGAATGGAAAACATGAACTCAAACAGAGACATGAATGCCAGTGTTCACTGCAGCATCATTTACAGTAGCTAAAAACTGGAAACAACCCATGTGTTCATCAACAAATGAACTGATAAACAAAACATGACAGCTTGGCTGATATGCACACAATGGAATATTCTCAGCCATAAAAAGGATTGGCATTTTAATGCATACTACAATATGGATGAACCTTAAAAATATTATTGTAAAGAAAAGCAATGCAAAGAAGGACAAATATTGTATGATCCCACTTCTATGAAGTATCTAGAATAGGCAAGTTCATAGAAACATAAAGTAGAATGGAAGTTACCAGGAACTGGGGGGATGGAGACTGGGAAGGAGGAAAGTTACTGCTTGATGGTTACAGGATTTATTTTTGGGGATGATATAAATATTTTAGAAGTAGATTGTCATGACAGTTGCTCAATGTTATGAATGTAATTAATGTCACTGAACTGCACAATTAAAAAATGGTGAAAATGGCAAACTTTCTGTTAAAAAATGTAAAAATAATTAGGACTGTAATAATGCTTATTTTGCTTTCGCTTTATGGAAAATGTGGAAAATAGTTATTATAGCTTTTATCATCCTTGTCTACTAATTGTGTCACTTGTGTCAATTCTGGTCCTGTTTCTATTGGTTGTTTTTCCTCCTCACTATGGGTCATATTTTCCTGCTTCTTTGTATGCCTGGCAATTTTTCATTCTATGCCAGACGTTATAAAATCTTGTCAGTCTTATGTCAAGTCAGTCAATGAAACGTTTTTAATTCATGTTGTTTATTACTTAAAAAAAATTGTGGGCATATAGTAGGCATTATTGTTCATTAATTTTTAAAATGCATGTTTTTTGCAACAACATTATTAAAAAGGAAAGAAAGAAAAATGACCCAAAAAGTGGGCATTTAGTGAAATTTGAGACCTCTATTCACATTTTCCTTACATATGTGCAGGTCTGAGATTGCAGAGTCTTGTGTCAAGGGCTGTCATAATGCTTACTCTGCTTTCATTTTATTGAAACTCTGGCAATCTGTGGCAATCTGAAATATGCTGAGATGAAAACTTTTTTTTTCTTTCTTGATACGGAGTTTTGCTGTTGTTGCTCAGGTTGGAGTGCAGCGGCACGATCTTAGCTCACTGCAACCTAGCCTCCAGGGTTCAAGGGATTCTACTGCCTCAGTTTCCCTATTAGCTGGGGCTACAGGTGCCTGCCACCATGCCCAGCTAATTTTTTTGTATTCATAGTAGGGATGGGGTTTCACCATGTTGGCCAGTCTGGTCTTGAACTCCTGACTTCAGGTGATCCACCCGCCTCAGCCTCCCAAAGTGCTGGGATTACAGGTGTGAGTCATCGCGCATGGCCGAGATGAAAGCTTTTAACAAGTCAACCTACAGAATCATTCTTTTGGATACCAAAGCAACACCTATCTGCATAATATTTTAGACAATAAAGATGCCCCATTTTTTCTTGAAAGAGAATTAGCAATTTATTTTTTACTTTTATTTTAGTTTCAGGGGTACATGTGAAGGTTTGTTAAATAGTAAACTCATGTTACAGGGGTGTGTTGTACAGATTATTTCATCACCCAGTAGCCAATAGTTATTTTTTCTACCCCTCTCCCTCTTACCACCTTTTACCCTCAAGTAGACCCCAGCATCTTTGCGTTCTTTTTTTTTTTTTTTTTTTTTTTTTTTTTGGAGATGGAATCTCGCTCCATTGCCCAGGCTGGAGTGCAGTGGCAGGATCTCTGCTTACTACAAACTCTCCTGCTTTCTAGGTTCAAGCAGTTCTCCTGCCTCAACCTCCCAAGTAGCTGGGACTACAAGTGCATGCCACCACACCTGGCTAATTTTTTTGTACTTTAGTAGGGACGGAGTTTCACTGTGTTGGTTGCCCAGGCTGGACTCAAACTGCTGATCTCAGGCAGTACACCTGCCTTGGCCTCCCAAAGTGCTAGGATCACAAGCATGAGCCACCATGCCCGGCCATTTGTTAATAAGTTCTTGTCATTTAGCTTCCACTTATAAGTGAGACCATGTGGTATTTGATTTTCTGTTCCAACATTAATTTGCTAGAGGGTAGTAGCTAGAGGATAGTAGCCCCTAGCTCTATCC